CATTCTGAATGTGGTTTTGATTGGCTTCGTGGGCACAATGTTTATGTAGACTCTTGTTGGAAACAAATTAGTACAAAAGTTTTCCTAGGTTTTGAAATGTAATATCATTGCTTGCAGTAAATATTAAAAAGAAAAAAAAACATTGGATCGCTTGTTTCATCTAACAAGTTCTTTTTGGTGTTTCTTTATTTGAATAAAGGAACACCAAAATATACATTTTTTCCTTTTGTCAACAAACCATAAATTTCTTGTCTTTTGCAAAAATGCACGTTTTTCATATACATCAATGAAATAATTATTCATTATAATATGAAATTAATATATATATATAAATTATAAAATTACTAGATCTATTAAGAAAGAAAATTTGGCACGATAGCTTGTTATAAGGGGCATTGATGCTATTAAATTTCCATGATGAAAGGTCGAGAGCAGGGATGCCACTGGGTCTGGATGGAAGAAACCTGAATGGGGAGTTTAAAAACCCAGATTATTTATCCAGAAAAATTCGTGATTTAAAATATAATTATAAATACTTTATCATAGTACATTCGTGCTGTTATAATTACAGACACTATAATACAAATTTAAAAAATCATTTATTACCTAATTTACACAGTAGTTAATGTTATTTCACAGTTACTCTGTTTCTTCTTCCATTAACACTTCTGCACAATCTCTATGCTCTTCTTGTCGCTTCGTATACCTTTGGTGGCAAACTCCTTGTACTGCATCTTTAATTAGTTCAGGTTCCGATTCATACAGCAAACAGCTAAGATTTTTCCTACTGATTGCTTGTTTAGCAAGAAACCTGTTCTTTGACGATTCAACAGTTAACCTGCTAGTTTGTTTGGTCTTAACGTTGTTAATTTGCGTAAATAATCTCTCGACACTAGCTGAGGAATGTGAAAAATCTGTGATCTGCGTCATAAATTGAGATAGTAGGGCATATTTACAGTTACCAAAACCATCCTGTATATTGCGCAACAAGAACCAATATTCTGGTATACTATTATATTGTATTACCAAATCTTTTGCTAAACGAAATGATCGCCATTCGTCATCTAATAACTTAAATACAAAGCATTTAGAATATTACATAAACTGGTTCTCATTACAAATGATCTTGATTTAATGTACCAAACTAATGACAATGTTTACAGTAGAGCATCCACTATCCGACTCAATTGGGGACTCGGGATGGTCGGATAACTGAAAAAATCGGATAACCGAAAAGAATGAAAAAATACATTATTAGTATAGTATATTAGTACACTATGTCCCATGTAATTAGTATATTAGTATATCGCTATTAACCTACTTCGCGTTGAATTTTCATCGATGTTAAGCCTAACAAAATTTTTTAAAATAATAATTGTCGCTATTGTATCGTTAAAAATTATTTTTAAATTATTTTATTGCTCACAAAACAAACCACTCATAATTAGAAAATTAAGTCTCGTTTAAATACTAGCCGTCCTTTAATGGTCGAACCGTGTTTGCGGCTAAAACACGCAAATATTTAACAAAAATAATATTAAAGTAGCCAAGATATAGCCAAATATTGTAATGCCACATCACTAGCGGACATTTGAAATTTGCCGACTAGAACGGTCGGTTAACCGATGTGACGGTTAATCGGGGGTCGGATAATCGATGCTCTACTGTATACAGACAGCAAAATGTTATAATGGAAGAGAAGAATACAATTCTCAAACGAATCTTGTAAACTCTGCAAAAGGTATTTATTTATATAATTGTTTAATATTTTAATACTTTTTAAAATATTTATTGAGTAAACAACAATACGTTTATAAATATTTACATATGTCCCTTCTTCAGTTTTCGTGATGTGTTGTTTTACAACATATAACAAGGTGTCGAAAAGGCGTTTCTGGTTCAATACTATTATCTGTATTAAATGCCTGAAATTAAGTATTTAATACATTTGCATTTAATCTGTTTTTTGTATTTTATAGTGTACTGAAAAAGAAAATAAGTAAGTAATCACACTAATTATTATTAGACATATTTATTTAGTGTATAAAAAATAGAAGATTGGAAAAAATAAATTAAAATGAATATGAAATCAACAACAGAACCTTTGTAATATTAGTTGTTGTCTAATATTCACAGCACTGTGATTTGCAGAATGTTCAATTTCGTTCATTGGTGTGTTATCATCACCATTTCTACAATAGAAAATTTTTTGCATAGATATATTCAATGATATACAAATATTGTGTAAAATAACACACGCCATCCCTATTTTTCCTAATGTTTCCGGAACATACTGCAATCCTTCAGCTGACTTCAAATCAAGGCAACGAAATCTAATAGCGAAAAATAATAATTTCAATATTCAAATTTGTAAAACTAGTTAATGATTAGTAATAAAAACGTCATAATTTCTCATACCTCTACTTTAAAACACCAAAACAGCTTTCAATTGTATTTCTGACTTTTCTACGAGCTTTATGATAATTAAATTCAGCTGCTGATATGGATTACAAATACTGTAGGTATAAGAAGCCAAGACTCAGTGGATAAGCACTGTCTTCTCTAAACATAATTTAGAGAATGGTATTTACTGTTTTACGCCAAATTTAATTTGTAATTATATGATTCTTAAATACTTCAAAAGACAATATGTCTGCTAAATATCCTGTTCCTATTACTCCCTCTTCAAAATTAGAGTGGAATTTCTTCAGATAAGGGAATCGTGTGTGCGCCTCGGATACAAAAAAAAATTAATATTTAGAATTTTCAATTGTGAATCACACTGTTCGGATATTACTTCCGCCGCAGAATTTCAAGTTTTCTCTGTTGTCTGAAGACAAAAAACTAATATTTTTAACGATGGAAATGGATGATTTTGTAAGAATAGTGTTTGATCATTGATCGTGTAAATGAGGATAAGTATACTAGTGAAGTTGTGACGTGAGTTGGAACGAAATATAAAAATTGGCTGGAAAGAACGAATGCTCCAAAATTTAAAGTTGTAAATACAAAATTTAAAATGAAGCATTATCTTTCTTGCGCCATTTTGGACATTTTTTTTTGTTGTAAGACTCGCGCGAACTTCCATTTCTTCTGTCATCAAGCAGTTACATTTATTCACCAGACACCCATTTTTGTTGACTCTAGATAATTATCACAAAATTTAAAAATGATCATTTAAAAACTGAAAATTACTTGTAGTAGCAATAACAATTTACAATTTTATCGTTTCTTTTAAAGTCTCTATGATATTCATTTTCAATAGTTTTTAAATTCCGTATTCAGTTTAACTGAAGATTTTCTCACATAAACAACACCACCGGCCTCATTCTCGTCAAACTTGTCCTAATCCATTTCTCCCGTAACTGAAATAATCAACACAACATCACTGTACAAATCTGCATAGTACCCCCAACCNTGTAAGCTGCTGTCACTTTTTTTCTGATTTTTGGACCTTTTAGTCGCCTCGATATTATTGTTGGTTACTTGATCGATCCACTCCAAAATATGTTGCTGGATACTTTCACCCGGAGTATTTATTGTGTTTTGAAAAGCGAGGTCGTCTTTGTAATTATTGTGATATATATATATATATCACAATAATTACAAAGACGACCTCGCTTTTCAAAACACAATAAATACTCCGGGTGAAAGTATCCAGCAACATATTTTGGAGTGGATCGATCAAGTAACCAACAATAATATCGAGGCGACTAAAAGGTCCAAAAATCAGAAAAAAAGTGACAGCAGCTTACATCGACATAAGCCGCAATAAAACTCCACACTTTACTCTCAATCCACTGCTATCTACTGCGGAAGAGTATGTCATCATGCAGATTATCTCGTATACGATTAACTCCACTATCATCTGTAGCGCGATCCACAAACACCGTAGTTATGATATACACATAAAGCTTGTTTGAGTTCCCGCTCATACAAGTGTAGCAATTAACGAAAAAGTGGACTCCCTCGCCAAAATAATTCTAACCAACACAAACAATACTCACTTCATCACCGTGGTAGATCTAAACAACATCGAAGTCGACAGCAATTAAATAATAGACGACAACTGAACAAAATACTGGAAAAAACGCAAACTATCCTTGGCTTAAAGAAATACCAAAACTAAACATAAAAAAACATTACCGACCGTTGTATTAATGTTTTGATTCACCGCGCCAGAACAAATTCATTAACCACAAATCATTTCCTTTGCAGCCTCAAAAACAACGACAATTGCAGGTATTTCTCCAACCAGATGGACACAACTCACCGTCATGACGAATCCTCAAAATTCGTCAATATAAGAAAGAAAATCCATCACACAACGAATATTAAAAATAACATCATCTGAAAAACAAGCGAAAATTTAGAATTGACTCAACCTGTTACCTATCATGAGGCTCTAAATGCACATTTCACAGAATATAGAGTTTACAAAGTTGAAATGTGTTTAAAAATTAAAAATACTTTTTGTCATTCAGAAACTCTTTGTGTTCGCTTTTATTCACAATTATATCTAAACTAGCAGATAAGCCCAGCGTTGCCTATTGTACCCATTTTCACCGAGTGCAAATGGGTCCTCCTTCTTATAAAGCCAGATAGAAAATTTTTAAATGGATCTAAAAATATGTTCGATTTCCCGCAAAAACTGCATCTAAAATAGAAGCCGAGTTCTTCAGGGTAATCCTTAATTCTGTCCTTTTCCCCCTGAGGGAATTTCCAAAAATTCTTTTTTAGTGTACAGTACATTCATTATAGACGTACCATGTGTACCAAATGTCAATTTTCAACTGTTAACCGTTTAGGCTCTGCACTTATTATTGTGATTATTATTATTAACCCATCTCGATTATATAAGACAATTTTACACAGCTTTAATTCTTTTTGTCTTTTATAACTTCTATTGCTTCATTTTTGTTTTCATTATCACTTTCATACAACTCACTCGATTATATATTATGAAACTATTTTATACAAACATGAAGAAAATCCGGAAATCTACCCCTGCTCAACTCTTCGCAAGGCACGAAACCGCGACCGACTACGAGTTTTATCAACTCGGTCACTGTTCGGTCACGATAAAAGAAAATAAGCTTTAATTGTTTTCATTCAAATCAGAGAAGTTTGTGAATATCTGCTGACAGCTTCTGTGGACATTTGATGCATTCTTCAACTTCAATAATCCCGAAAACACAGAATGTAAAGTCGTTGCCATCTACAAAGAAAATATATAAAATTGTTATAAAAATAATTATTTCAGGAGTTTTTAACGGGTATTCCGAACTTTGTATAATATGAACAAATTTTTTTTTTTTAAAGTTTTAGTTATAACTATAATTCTATGTGTAAATTTATAAGTAACGTTGGTTTGAGAATGAGAATGTGAATAATCTCCGAAGCAAGTGAATTGAAGGATTACTTCAGAAAGTCATTTATCAAGGTGCTCAGAATGGTAAATTTTCACAAGGCTGAAATGGCCCAAACGAGCAGTTGAATGTAAACATTTTTATTAATGGCCAAAGAAGGTAACAATGCAAAGCGAATAACTTTCATTAATTAACGATATTGTTGAAAGCCCTTTACGCATAGAGAAACAATGAGCGTAACTTTGTTACATTTTATGATCAAATGTTTCGGAGAAACAAAAAAAAAAAAAAAAAATGCTTATGAAAACATATTTACATATATTGCCGCAATAGGTGCTAATCGCAAAAAGTGCGTATCAGTTAGTTATTGTTGAGTTAATTAAAATTACAAGAAATATTCTATATTTTTGAACAGTCTAAATAATAGTTCTTATATAATGTAACATGCTTTTATATTACAGTAGAACCTCGAAAACTTGGCCTAATGTGGACCGAAGGGTGGCCGAGTTTGTGAAAATGCCGGGTTATCGGGAATGGGGTTAAAAAAAATAAGTACGAGTGTTTCCTCAGAAAATACTGTACTGTACTTGTATGTATTGTTTACTTGA